GAGAGAATGAGATAGAGAGCATGAGGAGGGGGGAGGGTCAGAGGGAGAAGCAGACTCCCTGCTGAGCAGGGAGCCCGATGCGGGACTCGATCCTGGGACTCCAGGATCATGACCTGAGCCGAAGGCAGTCGCTCAACCAACTGAGCCACCCAGGCGCCCTGGAGAATTACAGTTTTAAGGAGATAATGAATGTGAAACACACTATTTAAGCTGCAGAGCACAATACAGGTATAAGGTAGTGTTGTCTTCTATTCCCATGGCCGAAATCAGAGGCTGGCATGTAAGGTACTCCTGACTGTCTGTAAATGGCTTGGTTTTAGTCTGGAATGGGGCTGATTCTGAAAGGCTCTTTTAGGCCCTCGTTAATTTTACAGCCTTTCTAATTCATTTCTGCGGCCCATGCTGATCTGTAGGGTAGTTTAAGGTTAGTCCTGGATCAGGCCGAGCTCTCTTAGGGAGTAAACTTAAAGGCTTTGGAATCATTCTGGCCTTGGAGGTCAAGTACCTGCATAACGAATCTTTTGTTGGGACTGGGTGATTTTTCTTTTCCAGCAGCGACTTTGCTCAGGTAACACTCTACCTCATTCTTGAGGCATCAAAGCCTGGACAGGGACAGCTGCCAAAAATGTATGCTGTATAGTGCTCTCCAGGCCCCTCCATGCTATCTTTCTTGTTACTAACCTTTGCTGCTGTTGTTGTAACAGACTGACTCTGGGAGCCATTTTAGGTTCACAGCAAAACGGAACAGAAAGTACTGACGTTTCCCATACACTTTGCCTGCCCTCCCCCCTTCCCCCAGTATCAACATTCCACACTGGGTGGGGGGGGCGGGCAAACGATGTGACAGTCGATGAACCTACATTACACATCGTAACTACTCAAAGACTGCAGTTTGCATTAGGGTTCACTCTTGGTGTTATACATTCTAGGGGTTTGGACAAATGGAGGACATATATCTACCATTACAGTACCATGTAAGTATTTTCACTGTCCTAAAAAATGCTCTGTGCTCACCCATGAATGCCCCCAAACCCCTGGCAAGCACTGTGTCCATGATTTTGGCTCTTCCAGAATGTTATACAGTTGGACCTCCTTCACTTTTTAATGCAGTGGCACCATGTAATATTTTGTTATATTTCTACCTGCTAAAATAATTATTAAAAGTCAATTTCCTTGAAACAATCCTAAGGTTTTCATAGTGAGATCAGATGAAGCGTTAAGAAAAAGGCATCAAATTAAGCTGTTTGAGACCCTTAAGAGAAAGGACACAAAGAAAATTAGAGGATTTATTTGAAACATAGCTGCCTTTCACGTAGCATGTAGGTGGAAACAAGTCATGCTCAGGTACATTTAAGAACCTAAGAATTGCTATGATTTGTACTTTGTTCCTCTGTGATCCCAACCCAGTAAAGATGAGAAATAATCTTTGAAGTGATAATTTGAGTTTGGGGTTAACCAGGGAAGAAGTCAGAGGACAGCTTGATCACCCTTCTTTCTTCTGAAATGGACTAAGTGGGTTTGGTTTAATATGTGTTCCCTGGTTGATTTAGTCACTCCCCCTTCAAAGTGCTTTTCTGGAGTATTAATGTTATAAGTCAGTGTCTGGTCTGTGCCATTGCCAGTTATATCAAAAGCTCCCTCTTTCCCACCATCCCCCAAAACAGCTTTAATGTCTTCGTTAGTACTTTATTACAAACACCTGTGGCTTCCGTCCAGGGGCTTTTTTGGTTTAACGTTTTCCTCTTGAATTTTGTGCTTCCCATCCTGCCAAGAGAAAACAGCCCAATTTCTTAGTTATTCAGAAGGCTCCACAGTGACGATGCTGCAGACATTTCTTCGGTACTGTCTTAGCTTAGGTATAAAACTAAGCAGCTTTTTTGTTAGGGAAGGAATTTAACTTTCAAGATATTTTCCCTCATTCTTGGCTCTAAGTAGTTTCTTAACAAATTATTCTGATAGAGTTTGCAACAAATGATTTTCAGAGTAGATATTTTCCTTCTTAACTCTTTCAATTCAAATAAAATTCAGAATATATCCTATTTATTTACAGAGTGAGCTTACTTCTTAGGGTATCTTAGTTACTTCCGTGTATCTACCCCCGTCTCCACCTCCCACTCCCAGCTGAGCTCTGGAAAACTGGGAAAACCAGGCACCACCATATGGAGCAGACCGTAATCCTCTGGCACTCAGCCGAGCAGCTGCCACGACGTCACGACAACTTACGCAGCCTATACAACCTGAGGCGTGCTGTTCTACTCTGAAGGACCAATGTCAAGTTCCAAACTGCATTTCTACCAAAGCTTGTAAGCCCTGCCTGGGCAGTTTTTAGTGACAAATTCTTTCTGTGGCACACACACACTGCTGTCCATCAGCCTCCAAAAATAAAATGCACGTGCTTACACCACTCGTGTCAAGGAAAGGAGGTTAACGCAGTAGTTACACTCCTGGAGTCTCTACTGCAGGGCAGTTTAAGACTGAGGAACGTAAGGCCTCACTGGAAAAGCAGGATAAGATCGGACAAGAATATAAGTAAATCTCTGTAAGCCCTGCTAAGTAGATTTCACGTTTGTTAAATTAAACTAATAAAGATGGCATGCTACAAAAACTGTGGTATTTTGCACACTTTAAATGGGTGGTAATGAGTACTATATAATAAATTTCTATTTACCGTTATTTGCTACTCTCCAGCAAATTGGCATCTCTCTAGAAATGTTAAATAAGAAGCTTATACATTTGTCCTGCTTTGTTATATATAATATAAACAAAGAAGCTACTTTTTTCCTGTGTTTGTCTTTGAGTAAGTATTCTGTACTTTTCTGATTTTATTGTCTGAAGAGATTGGCTCCTGTTTCCTGGGTCCCAGAGATGGTCTTACTCAACTCTAGCTTCCTCACCATTATAGGAGCTGGGGGTCTCTCTCCTAAGACTGTTCTGTAGAAACTTCTACTGCTGTTCTTTAAACATTCTGTATCACTTTCTTTCCCCCAAGCAACTCGAGTTCCCTCTTGTTCTAATTTTCCCAAGAGAAGTACCTTGAGTATACTAAAACTGAAATCCTCATGATTCTGAAAAAGCCATACAGAAGCAAATCCACATTTAAGACAATTCTATTAAAGGGAAATTCAGAGTTGGGAAGGATTACTATAACATATTATTAAAGATACTAGCCAGCAGAAGTCCAAGGAACACAAGTGTTTGTTAAGACACCCAAATAATCTTACTTAAAGTGAAAGGGGTAAGAGGGTCCCTGGAAATCATGGTTAATGAGGCCTCTTTTCCATGTGAAATCAAGTTAGAGTATCTAGAGGCAGACTGAGAATCAAGGCCTTGTGTTCACTCTGGGTCTTGTCTGCAGTCTGCACACTCAAGGCCACAGCAACAAGCTTGTGTTCCCAGAGAGAAAACTGTCTGGCCCATCAAGGTAGCCTCTAAAAATTAAGTGAATGACCAAGGGAGTAATCCAATATTACCGTTTTGGGTTCTGGCTTCTGAGAAACCTTTCCTGGGATGCTCCTGTTGTTTTGTAACCTTCTTTCTCTTTCCAGTTGTAGTTCTAATTCAAGCTGGTGCCTGGGACGGGCGGGAGAGGAAGAGGGTCAGAATTTGGATTTCTGCACTCATATTCTCTAAGGAAGGTCAAACCCTTCTCTTAAAGCTCAGCAATTAAATTTTAATACTTGATGAATAAAAAGTTACCAGATACATACGGACAATCAGGTTTTAAGGTGTTAGAACACAATACAGTAAAACCAGTAACACTAAAATACAGACAATGTTTAATCTTTCTTGGATAATTCAGAATGTACTTTAAGGGGTGGCTCAGTCGGTTTTAAGTGTCTGCCTTCGGCTCAGGTCATGATCTCAGGGTCCTGGGATCCAGCCCCACATGGGGCTCCCAGCTCAGCAGGGAGTCTGCTTCTCCCTCTGCTCCTCCCCCTGCTCATGCTCTCTAATAAATACATAAATAAAATCTTTAAAAAAAGGATGTGCTTTAAGATCTCCCAGTGCCTAAGGGTCACCACTCTGAATATCAGTATTTAATATTAACTCTTAAAGAGTTGTAGTCAACTGAATGACATTTAGTAGGATTTACTATAATTAAAAGACAGTATTTACAAAATTTCAGCAAGAAACAGTAAGAAATCACCAACACTGTCGTCCCATTTCATCTTAATTAGCTGGTCTCTCTTTAATGTTCAATGCCCAGTTCCACTGCCAGCCACTAGTATGCTTAGTAGCCATGTGCTTTTATATCCAACAACAAAGTTCTCTTTGTTTGAAGTCAGTGGCTCCAGCAAAGAACTGAGTCTCATTTGACAGACAATATGGAAGAGTGGTTAAGGACTCGGAGTCAGAGAGAGACAGACTTTTAGAGTGCTGCCGCTTACTAGCTGAACTGTGTCAATCTTGGACAAACTGAACCCATCTAAGCTTTAATTAATTTCACCTGACAATGGGGGTAAGACAGTTACCTACTAAAAGGGTTGATGGGAAGATGTCAGGACCAAATGCCTATGTAGTACTTTGTAAAGTTCGCAGCACACAGTAAAAATTTAGGGAATACCATTATTATCAGTGTGATGTTGGCTATTAACTCTCATTCCTTTCTATTTATCTGGGACCTTGGGTTCTAATTTCCTCCTTTGATGGCAAAGCATGTTGACAAGCTTTGGAAATGTTGATATATGCAAAGCTTCCTGAATGCTAATTCCAGAGAAAGGACATTGCAAGGACAGAACGGAGAGGGCTGGCCCGGGGGTCCTCCTTCTCTTGCTGCTAGCCTTAGAACTACCCCCCCCCCCGCCCTCCCCCCCCCCCCCCCCCCGGCCCCCCCCCCCCACCCTTTCTTCACCGCTGCCTGGTGAGCTCCTCTACTTCCAGCTGCAGACTGTTGATCTTGTCTCCGAAGTCCTGCTTGAAGAGACGGTTGTCCAACTCGGCAGACTGGCGGCCTCGCTCAGCCTGGCGCAATCTGGATGTGAGCCATATGAACTTGTGATAAAAAACAAAAGCCATGGTGGGGAGGAAGACCAAGTTTACAACACAAAATAAAGCAACCCAAGGAAGAAGGCGTGGAGAGACAGAGGAGAGGGGAAAAAAAAAAAAAAGCTTTGCAGGACACAGGGGAAGAAATCAGACTGGGGCGGGTGGGGGGGAGATGGAGAAGAAACAAACTCTAAAGAAAAGCAAGATGGAGGTGAACCAGGCAGAGGAAAAGTTGATTTTCCATTTTTTTTTTATTCTAGTACTACAGTTTACAGCCATTAGATGATAAACAATAAAACATCACTTTTTAGAAAATCCATATCCAAAGCCAACACAGTCCATTAAAGTTAAACCCACTTTTTTGTGTTTATTTCCTAGTAGGTTTGGTACCTTATATTTCTGCTTTACACACATAACTGGAACTCGCAAATGGGCAACTACTTTCTTATATGTGAAATTAGAACATTTTCCTGGTCCTTTCCCTACACCACAACTTATATTAAATCACTGACATTGTACATTAACCCTTACCTAGGCTTTGAGTTCTTCTCTAAGGAAAAGACTTTGTCAGAGTTTGGCCATCTCTTTCCTTTTCCATTCCTACCAGGTGGTGTGTGACCAAGTGGACAAACAACTCAGCACTGGGCCTATGTAAGATTCCTGATCATATTCTCTGAAAAATTCTAATGAATGTTTTCTTCTATATATCCCATAACTTTGCACCTATAAAGAACCATGTTCTAAGGGGTGAAACATCTGGGGCTCTATAGAATAGAATTGGAAAGCATGCTATCTGTAGTCTTTAAAACGTTTTATTTTAGTGGTTGAGCACTCTTTCCAAATGCTCATAGAAAAGGCAACTCATCACCACAAAAGGTTGATGAAGATAAGAATAGGTGCAAAATTATAAGAACTAAAATAAGTTCAAGAGCACAGGTTATTCCATGAGGTTGGTAATATGCTCTTTGACTTGACTTTGGTTCAAGTCTGTAAGGACCTATAGAAGCACGCGTGAAATCTCTTACTCTCTTAATTCTGGTTTTTCCAAGAAGAAGGTAAAGAGTTTCAAAAGCTGGAAGCAAAGGGGGGTTATCTTTGTTCCCACCTAAGCAGCTGAAATGCTGCAAATCATAACAAAATGAGAAAAAATATTTTTTTTTGCCAAGACTTTTTGAAGGAATGAAGGCTTATGTAAAGCCTGTTCCCCCAAATCAAAAGTCATTAAAAAAAAAAATCCAAGTATTTATAGGATTATTTACAATGTAAAGCCTAGAAAGGGGAGTAGAACTGTGGTCACTTAGAAAAAGAAGCCCTGCTAATTACTATGTATGGATATCTACTGGGAATTTTTATTTTTAGACTAAATAATAAAGAGTTTATCATATATCTATTTCCTACGCTGAAATGGTTTTCTAATAATTATATTGTTAGTTTCCCAGAGACGTTAGCAAATCCCCATCTGAACAGAAATTAATAGAAACTTTTAAGTAAATGTCTCTAGCAAGAAGTGACAGGTGGGAAACCATCACTCATGTCTATACCTTGCTGTCTTTACTCCAAAAGGAACAGCAGGATAGATCTGAAAATTGTGTAGTGTCGTGTTTTTTGTTTTTGTTTTTATGGGAGATGAGTTTTTTCATTAAAATTATTCTCTCTGAGCTACCTAAATAGGAAGTGGAATTGCAGGAAAATGGCAGAGGTAGAAGATGACAAATATTAGGAGGGTTTTCCAAGCTTCCACGTTATGTTATCATAAGTTACCTAATCACTAACTTTATCTCTATGTACTTTAAAGAAACGTAAGGATGTGGGTTCCCTCCCCCGCCCAAAGTCACTAAGGCAAAAAAGTTGCAAGCAATCTTAGTTACTGAGAACAGAACTGTAGTGAAATACTAAGTACTTATCCGTGCCTTGGGGAGTAAACCTACACAAGGAAAGTGGAAAGGGACCATGGCCTAGGAGACAAAGCGACTGTAGAAGAGTCCAAGTCCATACGGCTATCACCTCTGGTTCATTACACTGCAATGGCAGACAGGCTCGCTGGTACGGACAGCGCACCGAGAATCTGATACTGTCTGGGACTGGGCTGTAAAGGCATCAATAATATATGCACAGAGTGTCCATTCCCTAGGCTGTTTTTTTTTTTTTTAATGGTGTGTTTATTTATTGGTCAACAAAGTAATTTCTCAAAGTTTATTTGGCAATTATTTAAGAACTTATACTAAATGCTCTAACTCTGGGGAGAAAGTAAGGAAGAAAAAACCCACGGCCTAGATATGAAATTGTTTTTCTTTTTTAAAGTCCAACAAATTCAGAGTCAATTTTTGGTGACGTTTTATGTAGAATCAGAGCTTAAATGTAATAACTTTCAGATTTCCTTCTTTACAATTAAGTTGTACATCAGACTTGCGAGGTGACCAAATGCAAAATGCCTAATGATGTTTTGGGATCAGTTTATTTGCTGCACTATTTAAGGTCTTTGCCTGTTTCACCAAATCCTTTTCACTAAATTAGTAAAATAAAAATAAAAATGGAGTGAAAGGGGAATGAGAAAATGAATAAATGGGAAAGACAAAAATAGCAAGAGAATAAGTCAGCTTAATACTTGAAGAAGTCATTATTTTAGTTCTATCTACTTCAAATGCCAAGTCAAAACACTATTGAAAAATAATTCTATGCAACATTTCAAAAACCCAACTTAGGAACACCACAATTAATTTGTTAAATCATAAACATATAATTGCTTATGAGCAAGCACTTAAGGAACTTTCCAGATGGACTGATACCTTTTTATTTAAAATCAGCCAAATCAGAAGTTTCAAACGTATTTACTAATTTGCAATTAACTTGTGAGTTACTATTAATATGCAGTGCCATTCAGGACGCTCCCTGGTCAAGAATTATCTGAATAAAACAAGTCATCCATTAATCTGTTCACTCATGCATCTGCTAAGTTGAATGCCTTGTATGTTCATGGCACTAAGACAGATCCAATGAAGGAACTTAGAAAATTCATTAAGTAATCTGGAGGAACTCACACTCTCATCAGAAGATACATATATAAAGGGTTATAACGTGGGACAGAAGGTGACAAGTAAGCAGTATGGACAGGTATGGATGTAAGGCTATGGGAATTCCAAGAAGGACAATGGGTAGATTATTTTTATCTGAGAAGCAGCATTAGCGGAAGCTTTAGGAGAGGTGGGGGCATGTGAGCCTGAATGTAAAAAACGGATCTGAAGAACAAGGCAGCGGATGAGGAATGGCCTTCCTAGCTGGCGGAGCTATTAGGCAAGGGATGGATGTAAAAAGTGCAAGCGTGCGCAGGGGCCTGCAGTCGTGCAGTCTGGCTCAAGTGAAAGAAGGGTGATCAGTGGGTGTTCCAGGTGGAAGCGCAGAACGACTGGCCACGGAATGTTCCTTCAATCTTGAAATCTTGGCCATTTCTCTTGGCAGCTAAGTCACCACAAAGAAAATGGCGGTTTCAGCCAAACAGAAACAAAAGTAGCACAGGGAGAGGATGTGTTTTGGGCAGACTGCGATGTAGGGACCAGACAGAAACAGCTGGTGGGAGGATGAAAACCCAAGACTGGGTTTTTAGAGGGGGACAGAGCTGGAGACAGACCTAAGATTGTGGGCAGGGGTGACAGTGGACACTACAGAGAAAGAAGAGAGAAAAGGGAGATAGGAGGGAGGAGAGAAATGAGTTCCAGTGTTAGAAGGGCCTTCAGCATCCTGGTATCACTAGCACCAGTGCATTCCAAGAATTTGGTAATGAAGAGTAAAACAACAACTGCAAACATATGTAAAAGTGCTTTCAGGGCGCCTGGGTGGCTCAATCAGTTAAGCGGCTGCCTTCGGCTCAGGTCATGATCTCAGGGTCCTGGGATCGAGTCCCACATGGGACTCTCTGCTCAGCGGGGAGCCTGCTTCTCCCTCTGCCCCTCCCCCCTTGTGCGTGCATGCTCGAACTTTCTCTCTCTTGCAAAAATAAATAAAATCTTTAAAAATTAAAAAAAAGTGCTTTCATCCTTGTAGGTCTCCCTCCTCCAACATGACACTGAAATGGGATTATGTAAGAGGGTTACCATTCTGCTGTTCAAAACAGTCAGGAGAGGCTGAGGTTTCTTAAAAATGTTTTCAGTGACATCTTAGAGAAACACAAAATTTAACTGGCTTTCTACCAGTATGTCTGGTGTTAAGTTGGGAGAATTTCATACACTTTGTTTGCCAAATGCATAGCACATTCTCTTCCCTTCCAGCACTGAAAGCCCAAGATGTTTCACTCAAGAAATAGCACTTTTACCTTTGTTCGAGTTGTTTGATGGTAGCAGCCATCTGATTAGTCTTCTCTTCCAAACGACTGTTTAGTTCACTTTTCTGTTTTACTCCTAAGTCTGAACTCTGTTATGGAAAAGAAGTATGAGTGATGGACACAGAATATAAAATCCTGAAATAAATCACACATGCTTTTTGAATCTAATGGTAAGTATGAAACAGAGAAACAGAAATGCTCATATATTTGTTTATCAGTTAACTCCCAAATGGAGAAAAACAAAAAGCAACGTTTAAAATTAGTACTGCTATATGCAGTTTTGTCACAGAAATGAACATCAGAAGGTTCATCAGTAATCATATTTCAGTATAAGAACTAATGGCATATTGCTCAGCAAAATCAGTCAGTCAGAGAAGGGCAAACACCACATGATTTCACTCATGTGTAATTTAAGAAACAAAACAGATGAACATAGGGGAAGGGAAGGAAAAATAAAACAAGACAAAATCAGAAAGGGAGACAAACCATAAGAGACTCTTAACTCTAGGAAACAAACTGAGGGTTGCTGGGGGTGGGGGTAACTGGGTGATGGGCATTAAGGAGGGCATGTGATGGAATGAGCACTGCGTGTTCTATGCAACTGATGAATCACTAAAGTCTACCCCTGAAACTAATAATACACCATATGTTAAAAATTGAATTTAAATAAAGAATGACAAAAAAAAAAAGAGCTAATGGAATATATAAGTCAGTTGACAGGTTAGGCTGGAGTGTAGAAATTATCTTATAGGATAAAAAAGACCTGTTTTCCCACTACAATTTGAAAAGTAGCCATGGCTTTCCAGAACAGCAACACAGGATCCTATGACGGGCTGATTCCTAAAGTGGTTTATTGGCAACCAGCCTCAAAATGAGATGTGACTCTTCCCTCCTGTATGTCAAGTGTGATTCTAGAGAACAAGAGGGGCGGGGGGAACCCTGGGAGTTGAGAGAGCCCGTGAGCGTACCCTCTTATTCGCCCTACCTGCAGCTTAAAGGCAAGTTCGTGCTTGAGAGCCCTGAGGTCATCCAGCTGCTGTCGCAGCGACACCAGGGCGTCCTGCTTCTCGCAGACATCCTTCTCCAGCATCTTCATAGCTAATTCCATCTCCTGTCTCATGCTGATCTGGATCTCCAGTTCTTTTTCAACATCCTGCCCCCAAAGGTAAATAGATTGCTTACTCTCTCTTTCCTCAACAAAGTAAAAACTATGAAATTCCACAGGAAAAGGTGTAAATTCCAACACTCTCAGGTCTGAATATTTGGGCAAAATAGCTACAAGCTACCATTCAATGCAGAGATATTAATAATTAGGATAATTATAAAAACATTTACTCAAAAATTTACAAATCCAAAAAACTTGGTGGGCCAGAGATAATGCTATTTAATATGTCTAAAATAGACACATACTTGTGGCACTTCATTACAGTGAGACAACTGGTGTCATGTCCTATTACAGAAATGTATATAAAGTGCTACTGTAGCCAGCATAAAATGAAGCACTTGCAATTCTCTTCATTTTGGATGTTGACATCATAGTCAAGAGCCCAAGGAACCCAAAAGATACTTTGGGTCCCCAGGGTAAACATCTCATAAGTGGGAATGATCGATATGACTAACTGAATTTTTATATTCACTTAGCATGAAACCCCTTTTTGGTTCAATCATTATTACTGCAACATGATTTGGAGGATCAAAGATACAATGACCTGCGGTTCTTCTGCATCCATGCTGTTCCCTGGGGCATATCTAGGACCTATTTGCTTGGTTTCTTTCCTTTTTGAACAAACATGTATCTTCTTGTGACAAAAGGATGTGGAAAATTTCGTGTCAGATTTTAAAGTCACATAATTGAGGTGCTCCTCTGTGCACGGTTAGCTTGATTAAATCAGATTGCTTCTGAAAATGCTGACATACATTATTTTAGGATCTTTCATATAGAAAGTATTTTGAGATCTAATCCATAAACACGTAGTAGGAAAATGATAATTATTTCAAGGATGTTAAAATTATATTGCTGTCTTCTCAGAACATCTGAAATTCTATACACTGTTAGGTGGTGATAATTTTTAGTACAAACCAGATCACCTTTATTTTCAGGCTCCTTCCTATTTTCAGAGACACTATTGGTGAGGGGAGATCCTTTTGTTTGTCATATCATCAAAATTGCAGGAGGAGTTAATTTACCAATACCAGGGATGTATCAATATACTAACACTTGGATAAAATCTATTACAGGAGTATTATTCATTATTATACATTTATACACACACACATACATCCTCCAAGGAGACATATCAGAATCTTTGCAGGAGTGAGGACTCAAGTAGGAGTGGGGAATCACAAAGTTTAGAAGAGTAGGTTCCCCATATACCTATTGTTCTTATAACACAAACTATAAAAGCAAAAAAAAAAAAAAAAAAAGACTGGCAAAATCCTGTTGGCTGTTGAGAATACTCAGAAAATGGACTGGGAAAGCATTATAGGGAATATGGGTTAAAAAGAGTGAGAAACATACACCTGAAACTAATGTAATACTGTGTGAACTACACTAAAAATAAATTAATTAAAAAACAAGTCACAGAAGCAACTGAAGTATTGCAAGAGTTACAAAAGACCTCTGTACGAACAACATTCTCTTCAGCAAATAGTGTGATATGGAAAAATCCACCCTAAGACTTAGCTAAGAGGGCTTCCTCAATGTCATTTTAGTTGAATCCGATAATTAAAAATTTTCTACAGTTTTCCAATATGCAAAATCTACTGTATTCATCAATAAGCAACTAGCCTTTCCTACGGAAGAAGGTAATATCCTTGATAAAGAGTGTTGAGCACTACATCTGAAACTAATGACGTACTCTATGTTGGCTAATTGAATTAAAAGAAAAAAAAAAGAAGAAAAAAGTGTTTTATGCAAGTAATGTCCAGTGAAGGTAAAAATCAACCATATGAAAATTTGCCTTTATGTCTAATTATATTCATAATGTACTCAAAATTAAAAAAAAAAAAAGAGAGTGAGAAACAGTTTTTTAGGATCTACAAAAATTTTTTTGTCCCAGTACTAATGTTCCTGAGCCTGGTCTGTAAGATCAAACATCTAAGTGGGCTTTTATGTTTAATGGGTTCCTGAACTACTAGAACATAAGTTAAGTTTACCAGTCGTAATTGTGTCTCCTCCTTTAAATGCTTTCTGGCTTCACTCAGTGCTTGCCCTTCTGCAGTTCTCTCCTGCTTAGGACCCTTGAAAAGATAAATAAAATAGTATATATATATATATAAGGATTTAGAAAAATCTATATAGAGTTAGCTGACACTAGGGAAAATGATTATATTTCATATTTAATTAAACAGGTATAACAATGAATAAAGACAACAAAGAAATGGAAGCAGCTTAGAAAATAAAAAATTCTCAGAACTGGGTTTTCTTGCCATTTAAAGTCCTAAGATAGGTTACCAAATCAAGTGCAAGAAGTCTTAAAAGTCAGCCTCTAAAAACAAAGTGACATTTACTGTAAAATGTGAATTGGGCCAAAGGTTCAAATGGTAATATATTCCTTCTCCAGAGATCTCACATTTGGAGTCTCCAACCATCCAGAGAGATCATAGCTCAAAATAAGTAGGTCATCAGAAAATTCTTCTGAGCAGTCACAGTGTTTTCACAACGTCCACACATTAAAGTCAAACCCATTACTCGGAGAGAACTACTCTAGTCCCCACTCAGAGCCTAGCTGCTTACTCTTTCAGAACAATTTTAATAACCATGGATATTTGGATTCCTAGGTCACAGAAGAAGAGAAGCATGCAGATAAAAGGGAGTGGGGAGACACTAATACCAACAGCAGTGAGAAGCAAGAGATGCCAGTGAGATCAAGAAAGCAGAGAAAAAGCACCCAGAGCAATCTGGAAACATTTAAGTATAGGTGCTAGAAGCTCTATCAATTCCAACAGCCCCCCAAAGTAGCGTCATTTTAAGTTAGCATGGAATTGCCGATGTTAATAATTAGGATCTTTCATCATCATAAATGGCTAAATGTGTTAATTTATGTCCTTTACGTAAGACTGCTTAGGATTGTGCAGTACATAAAAAGTTTGCAAAAAATCCGTGTAGACATATATCAGAAGTTTGATACTTAAGGGATTAAGTTATTTAGAAAACTCATTTACATGGTAACTCCCAGTGGTACCAAATAAACACTCCTTACAAAGCAGTAACACGATCTGAAAACAATGGTATATTTAATATAATAAATATAACACTTAAATATTGTACAAATCATGAGTACATAACAAGACATTAAATTAGACTGGTTCTTGAAGTTTCTCAACAGACAGAGGTGGCGGTGAAGCCAAGGAGCATCTGTGGGAGGAACCACACCCACAGAATCTCCATCATTACCCGATTCTGCATGGAGTCTCAGTAAAAAGAGTGTGCTTGATATGTGCAAGTGCTTGCTGCTTCCAAAGAGTCCTCTAGAGTAGAGGTCCCCCTCCCACTGCTCACATGTTAACACACTCTCTAGGAATACTTTATAAATCCAGTAAGGTTAACCTTCCGATTGGATTCCAATATGTAGGAGCTTTCCTCTTTAACTCGTTCCATTTCTTCTTGTAGGGTAATAATCCTATTGTTTGCAACTGCAAGCTGTTGAAAAAAATTTTTAAATTTTTTTAGTCTTTTTTTTAGCACAGGATAATTCATGATCTGCTAGGATATAATTTTCAGGCTTGAATATTCTTAGAAGGAAAGAAGGTTATCTATAACCACATAAAAATGTTCTTATTGTATGAGAAATTAGGAAAAGTATTTTTGAACTAGATTAGATAAAAATAAAAAATATCTCCTATTGTTGCTTTTTGTGTAAACTCTTTTTCAGTTCCAAAATGTTAACTTAAGATTGTTTACCTCAAGGGTGTTCTCATGAGTAACTTATATTTAGTTATAATATCTATTTCTAAAATGTTTAATGAAGAGGTCATGTCATGCCTTGGGACTCATAAACCCTACATAAGACCTTTGATAGATGATTTTTAAGAGTAAAGAAATGAAACTTCAAAGTTCTCACTCTAAAAGATGCCATTAAGTATTGAAGAAATTTGTCATTTCAGCGCCTGAAAAGGTAAGGTAATGTTATTAGCAATATATTGCTCAGGGGAGACGTTTATATCCGCATTCCACAGGAGGGAAAAGTAAAGTGGAAACACTTTTTCCTCTTCCGCACCTGCTAACCTTGATTTCCCACAGAGAACATGGAACAGCCTGAGTAAGCGTAGGAAAGGCCCTCAGCAGGCTCCTCTCGGCCAGGCTAGTCTCCCTTTACACGATCTCCTCCCGAGCAGTGGGCACAGGTTCTGCTTGGTTCCTGTTCTAGTGCCTAAGTACAGAGGAGCCAGGGCTCAGGCATGCTTTCTAGAGGCAGGTCTGGAAGTCCATATATCCCTCTCTGCTCCATGGGCCTAACAATGCATAAAAAAGTTAACTTTGGCCAAGTGGGCCTCTAGATCCAGAGACATCCTCAAACAGGTTCTCCCAAGACCTTAACATCAGAGAAAGTATCAGGAAACTATGGTTGTACAGCCCCGTGGGCCTTCTAATTCAGCTTTACAATAATAAAGTGGACATTTATGTGTCTTCATCTGTTTAATTCTTCTCATTTTATCATACTGGTTCAGAATTCAGGAGAGGAAAAGAGGGGCTTTGGTTTTTGTTTTTTATTGGTCCTCTTAAATCCAAAATATATAGAAATGGGAAAAGACAGATCTGATTTGTCTTATCTGTTCTTTATAAAGCCTACACACAGGGCTTAACTGTCTCTAAAAATTTAAAGTTTCAAGAAAATAAAGGTTACTGGCAAAATAAATACATGAATGAATAAATTAATATTGGTAATAAAATATATCTGGATCAGGAGGACAAGTCTTGTGACTGAGGGAATAAAATTAATGACCATATTTACTGGCTGCTTATGGTGTGTCAAGGCACTGGCTGAGGTCCTTACGTATTATCATTCAATTCCCGCAAAAAGTTACTATTATCATTCCCATTTTAGAGAGGAGACAACCAAGAAATAGAGGCTTAAGTTATTGGCCAGGATTAGAAAGTTAGCAAGTGCCAGAGCTGGGACATGAACGCAGAGAGCCGAGCTCTAGAGCCCATGCTTCACTGTGGTGCCATATTGCCTCAACAGGGTAGCAGCCGACTCACACTACAACACTTCTAATCAGTGTATTTCAAAAGCTTTGTAGAGTAAAATTCTAAGGATCATTTCCATTAAGCTTTTTTTTTTTTTAAAGATTTTATTTATTTATTTGACAGAGAGAGAGAGAGAGCGCACAAGCAGGGGGAGCTGCAGAGGCAGAGGTAGAAGCAGGCTTCCCGCTGAGCAGGGAGCCTGATGTGGGACTCGATCCCAGGACCCTGGGGTCATGACCTGAGCCGAAGGCAGACGCTTTACCAACTGAGCCACCCAGGGGCCCTTCTATTAAGTTTTAAGAATCTACATCCAAAAGTGAAGCCCACAGAGCTAGTAGTAAGGAAGGTGTTTTAAAGTTATAACAATGAAAATGTTCTGAAGAAAACTGTTTAAAGGCATTTTCCTGACTAGTGCTTGAACTTGGTTTTATTTAAACCAAATGTATGCCATGGTATAGAAGAGGATAGTTATAATAAGAAATAGGTTAAGATATAGATAAGATAAACAAAGTCTTTGCCACCTGGAAAATTTTACTTAAGATTTTTCATAGAAACATCTAATGCTATTAAAGAAAAAAATATGTAGCTTAGCCACTGACAAATTAAAAAATTTCTTTACTAAACGGAAGCAAAACATGAGGTCAATTTTTATTCTTATTTTGGGGACTTTCCTAAGGGTTTTCACGTATATATTCTGTGATCTTCAGAGTAACTATAAGGCTGAAAGGAGAAGTATAAACACCCTCAACTGCCAGGCAGGGAACTGGGCCTCTTGGAGGTCAAGTGACTTACTTGCTCAGAAGCACATGACTTGTAAGCAGCATGACATGCAATCAGGGATTGCTGGTCTTCTGACAATGCTCTTTAAATTATCTACCCTATACCCCCAAGGAGAAAATAAGGCCCATGAGGGTGGGAGCTTGCTAATCCAGCACACGTAAGTCAATGCACACAGAAATCTTTGTCTAGCTCTAGCACATAAGCAGTACCCAAATAAATGTCTGTTGAATGAACAAGTGATGAGTACCAAGCTATTTGCTTCCACTAGTGCACATTAAACTGTATGTCAATCAAAGAATATCCAAAACACATACCTCCTCTGTCAGTTTAGTGTTGGATTTTTCTAATGCATCCACTTTTGCCTGAAGATTGTTTACTGTAGCACTATAAAGAGAAGAAAAAAGATAATGGTTTCTCTTGAAAAACAGAACAACATCCTGTACTACCCACGTAAACATCCATCACAGGTATCACCCATCGTCTAATGTCCACAATTCATGGTGGACTTGCAGCCTCTAAGACAGTTCACAAGCGGCTGTGGATCTTCCCTGTTGTACCCTTGGCACTGAACTCTGTACTTAATAAGCACTTGTTGGATGAAATAAAAGAACTGATCCACTGCACTGTCAACTTTAAAGTTTACTTATATGTAATAATCAGCTACCTGAATTAAGTGCTTGCCATACACCAAGCACTTTTCTAAATTATTTTATTTGCATTATTTCATTTACTCCTTTCAACAACCCTCTGCAGTAGGTATCCCTAAATATAAAGAATCTGAGGCATGAAAAGAGTCAGTAACAGTCATGTTTCTATTTCACTATCAAATGTAAGTGTACTTCTGCTTGACTAACATCTCCATAATTCACTGTAGTCATTATTAGTTCTTGGTCCCCAGAGAAAATATACTTCAATTGTTCTTGAATTTTCTAGCTGAAAACAAGACTATTCAAAATTTATTTATTTATTTATTTATTTAAAGATTTTATTTATTTATTTGACAGAGAGAGAGACAGCGAGAGAGGGAACACAAGCAGGGGGAGTGGGAGAGGGAGAAGCAGGTTTCCTGCTGAGCAGGGAGCCCAATGCAGGGCTCGATCCCAGGACCCTGGGGTCACAACCTGAGCCGAAGGCTTAACGACTGAGCCACCCAGGTGCCCCAAGACTATTCAAAATTTATACTGATACTCGTATAATCATATTATAAGTCTTACTTAAATTATCTTTATAAGAGAATTATAAAAAATAATAGTTAATCGATATATTAATTTTTCAGAATTATTTGACAGTCTTTAGCATAACAAGAACATCAATGTACTTGAGAATACCAATAGACTGTTTCATGTTCTGGACAGTTCTGAAAAATAGTGAGTATTTGGTAAATTAATGATAGTGATGGTGAAGAGAGGGTAAGTTAATACTATCAATTCAATGTATAAATGAAAAATGCAAGGGACCAACATGATACAACGAATCTAAAGGTACTAAGGCAATGAGTGGTTTGTCCACAACTGGTCTTGAAATATGTGGTTGGGTCTGCTGATCCAAGAGGGCTGCCACTGTCAACTGCATATGTCACATGTTTAAGAATTCTTAACTGAATATACTTAATCACTACAGTTATAATTACATACTAATCTTATACTGCCTTTCACTAAAGGTCACCAAAATAGTTAAATGACATTTATTTATTTATTTATTTATTTATTTATTTATTTTTTAATAGTTAAATGACATTTAATTTAGTGCCTAGCTCAGTGCCTCGCAAGCAGGAATTCCATGTATTTTTGTTGAGCATTGCCTGAATTTATCCTCATGGCTCATCAGTTTATTCTTCCTTTCCTTCACAACAAAATCCCCAGGAAAGTAAAAATATTTATTCATTCTTTACTTTAGATGTCTGTTGAGTTCTTCTACATAGTTCTTCTGATCCAGAATTGCAGTAATCTGGCCATCTCTGGGGCGGTGGGGGGGGGAGGGGGATAGAAATAAAATAAGTAACATTAGAATTACCAAGATCCTCCCTTCCCCAATCTTTTCATATAACATAGAAAGGAAAACCGTAGCACAGATACACTGAGTCAAAAGACAGACCTGATGTATAATGCCTCCAAGAAGAAAGACTCAGATGCTTAAAAATGAAACAAAAAATTCCCCACATTAAAAAGCCTTTATTATAGCTTACATGCCTTCATAACTTAGGTTATAGGTACAACATTACATTCTATCAAAGGCATTTAAAAAATAAAAATTTTCTTCTCACAATTGATAGCCTTTTTAGCTTTGCCGGTACTACTTATAACAACAATTTTCCATTTGTCATAGGAATTGAATTAAACTGATTTTGGTATAATAATAGTTTTTCCCAAAGGCCATAATTTTGCCTTTCAATGTTAATTTTATTTCAAAGTGATTGGTATAAAAAGCTTTCATAAAGATCAAGTGTTTATTGTTACGTGAGAAAATAAAGAGTGGAAACAGGAGGTTCACTTCTGGAACCGACTAATTTGTAACAGCCAAGTTAAAAAGCCAGACTTTTCAATTAAAGTCAAATCAAGGCCACATACCTCTAGCACTACACTTAAAGAACAAACGACATAGTCTTGGCTCAATGTCCAACGTTAAGAACTTCAGATTAATTGTGCTTTCAACTGCTAAATTTATAAAGGGTATTAGGTAGTACTCTTCTGGTGTTTAATTTCTAAGGACCATATGGATATTTTAAAAACTTTTTTGAAATGATTTTAGATTTACAAGACTTGAAACAGTAGTGCAGAGTTCCCATATACTCCTCACTCTGTTACTCCTAATGTCAACATTTCACATAAGTCCATAAGGCATGTTTCATATTTCACATTCTAACAAAACCGAGAGGGCAATCTTCCTGATCAAGAAGACCATGTTTTCAAACACTACTTCAAGAGATGGAGCACTGAATTCTTTTATAAACCCCTTTACTTTGTTAGCCACTGAACCACACAGTAGGAAAATCACTTAACTACAACCTCTTTTCGGGTTTAGGAGGCACAAGAGTCAGCTCTTTTTGACAAAACTCTATTAAAACTATATCATCAGAAATTCTTTCAGCAAGTCTGTTAAAGCACTACTGTTGTAAACTTTAAATGCTATCAAAGAACATTAAGGAAAAAAGAAATTTGATTTTCTCTGTACATACCCTTCACTACCTTTACTGCTGTTCCCATCCTTGAGATACATTGAAAAATCTATAACTCCAACCTACAGAGAGAATTTTCAGAATTTAATATAAAATTAGATACTTTTTCTAAGGCATAATATAATGTCTCTTTCTGGGCATTCTAAACAGTAATAAAGTCATAGCCTTATTTGAAATTTTTGATGAAAATGTAATGTAATCATGAACTTGAAAGGGGTGAAAGTAAGTAAAGAATCGACATTAAGGCAAGAAGGACCAGAAGACCAGGTCATGCAAGTCAACACAAGACTCTAAGAAAGTCAATAGAATGCTTACTATAAATTTAAGGCTTAAAGTTTCTTTCTCTTTTGTTTCTCTCAAGTATTCTGCTACTGAACCCTATTCACCTTTTTTTAAAGATTTTATTTATTTATTTGAGAGAGAGAGAGAATGATAGATAGAGAGCACGAGAGGGAAGAGGGTCAGAGGGAGAAGCAGACTCCCTGCCGAGCAGGGAGCCCGATGTGGGACTTGATCCCGGGACTCCAGGATCATGACCTGAGCTGAAGGCAGTCGCTTAACCAACTGAGCCACCCAGGCGCCCAGAACCCTATTCACTTTTAGGAATAATGTTTTAAAAATTCTAATTACAAAAAGAATGCACATTTCCTTAAAAAAGTTTCAGAAAATACAGATAAGTAAAAGGAAGTAATACAAAATACCCATAGTCCCAACCACCACTGTAACATTTTGGTATTTATTCTTCCAAACTCTAATTGATGCACTATGTCTAAATTTTTTAGGACTGCTTTTATTATTCAGCTTATTTCTTTTTTAAAATCCAGGTCAAAATATCCTACTTCCCTTTCCATTTTCTCAGAGTAAAAAGTAACAGAAATTTGCTGTAGAATTTCATAGAGCACGGGTGAGAAAGAATCAGTGTGAAAGTGAAAGCTTTATTTATTGAGCAATCAATTATGTTCCAGGCTCTGCACAAGGTACATCACATGTACTAACTCTTTTATTCCACACTATAAATCTATTAAATAGATATACCCTTTTTTTGTCCCTGTATTACAGCTAAGAAATGTGAAGCATTAAGAAACTAACTACAAAATTTATTCAGCTAAAAAATAAAGAAGCAGAATTTGAACCTAAACAGTTTGGCTTCTGTATTCATAACTACCATGCCCGTGTATATATTTTAGCTTGTGTGTGTGTGTATTTTAGTCTGTACTAAATATTTTATTTTTATTTTATTATTTTTTAAAGATTTTATTATTTGACAGAGAGAGAGAGATGGCGAGAGAGGGAACACAAGCAGGGGGAGTGGGAGAGGGAGAAGCAGGCTTCCTGTTGAGCAGGGAGCCCGATGTGGGGCTCGACCAGGACCCTGGGATCATGACCTGAGCCGAAGGTAGATGCTTAACCGACTGAGCCACCCAGGCACCCCAGTCTGTACAAAATATTTTAAACAGGGATTACAGTCAAGGTAAGAATTTGAAAAACATTCATAATACATAAATGAGTCAAGTTAGAAGGAAAAACAAAGTAATTGTTTATATTCACATCAAAAATGTAAAAATCCCATTTATGACTCACAGAATTTCCCTTAATTTGGTTGGTATAATCTGATCCATCCAAATTCTGAGATAACAGAACTCAGAGTGACCCACTTGGTAACTGAGCATCTTTTGCATACCTGAGAGTCCAAGTCTTCTCCTTTCATACAGAAATTGGCATCAATGACATTCAGACCCACCAAGAGACCAGCGATTATGGCTCCTTCTTCTTCCATCATGAGGGCATTGGGTTCATAGAATTCGCTGTAAGAGAATTCACGGAATACCAATAATAAAACCTCAAGAATCCAATGATGTAATCTTGAGACAAACAGAAAATGCTGGCCTCATAGTTGAATATGGGTACTATGATAATAGCAAAAAAGTTAAAAAAAGATGGCTTGGATAGTTTATTTTAGATAATAAGTACATGAATAGACTCTAGATAATAGTCCAGCTGAAAGAAAAGTGACCAGAATGGTTTTTCACTGAAGTGATTACTTATGCTTTTCCCACATATTTGTATCTGAGATGCAAGGGATAATTTTTCAATCTTAAAGCTTCTTTAAAAAATTGGTTTGTTTTTCAAAATTTGCCTCAGATCTGCTTTATTTCTGGGTGGGTGTGTAGTAGTACCATACTTATTCTAATTTGTATTTACATGACAGCTAGTGAATTTACTTACATATTTACATATATATATGTACATATATATAAAAGATGTATTTATTTATTTGAGAGAGAGAGAAAATGTGTGCTTATGAGTGAGGAGAGGGGCAGAGGGAGGAAATCCTCAAGCAGACTCCCAGCTGAGCACGGAGCCTGAGGTGGGACTCCAGCCCACAGCCCTGAGATCATGCCCTGGGCTGAAACCAACAGTCAGACAACTTAACCAACTGAGGCACCCAGGCACCCCTATATATATTTATAAAGGAAGCTCTACATCCAATGTGGGACTGAATTCAGGACTGGGAGATCAAGAGTCGCATGCTCTACTGACTGAGCCAGCCAGGAGCCCCTCTTTTTTATGTTTACTAACCATTTTGATTTTCTCTTATGAAATGCCTGTTCAAATCCTTTACTCATTTTTACATTTACTTGTCTTTTTCTTACTGGATTGAAGGAGTTCTTCACATACCCTGAATATGCATCATTTGTTGAATATATATATTACAAATATCTCCTTTCACTCTTCATGTTGCCTTTTAATGTTGTGTCTTGATGAATGAAGTTCTTCATTTTAATGTAGACCAATGTATCCATTTTTTCCCTTTAGGGGTAGAGTTTTTTATGTCTTGTTTAAGAAATTTTTGTCTACCTTATATTTTTTTCTAAAAGTTTTACTGTTTTGTCTTTCCCGTTTGTATCTATAATCCACCTGGAAAGTTTTTTGTGTATGCTGTTTTTAAATTTCACATTACACATCAACTTCCTGTCTTACTGGGTTTGGGTACATGCTAAGGTGTCAAAAGCCTTTCCTGTTTTTTGGGGGGTATTACGTTTTGGCCTGCCCTGTATATATGCCACAGTGACAGACTAAACATATGTAACAAATAAACATCTATTCTTGAGTAGGTGTTGTGTGAGGTGTGGGAGAAGGTATTAAGTTGAACTACATGAAACTGCCATGAATCAACCGCTTTTGATCTGCGAAAATGGCAAATTTCTGATTCAACCTCATACAATGTAGAACATAGCAAGAAAAGAAAAAAGTTTAACAAGATGTTCATACCTGAGAAGTTCCTTCTTATTGATCAAAGCTTTCATATATTCTGAGAGTTTCTTTTGCATTAATGCCAAACGAAGCCAGGCTCTTCCTCTGCCTACTGGTGTCCTACAGAAACACAGGAACCAAATAACTCAAAGTAGCAGAGCTGGGGGCCACTGTGGGACAGATTCACTTACTCTTGCTAATAGTCCCCAGTATAACATGCACACTGAGGTGCTCCTTACAACCTCCTTCACCTCATTCCTCTGTGAGGAATTTTGTGTGGGCTGTTGGGATGAAGGGGCTCGTGGGTCTGGGAGGGGTGGGTTTGGAACAAGTGCTCTTGCGAAGAATTAATTACTGAATGAGACTACGATTTGAAGACAAAACCTCTGGGAGGCCCAACTGAAAATGTTCCATCACATTAGCATTGGTAAATCCTCAGACTTAGTGTGGATCATGTACGTACCCAAATACTAGTAATGTGGACACAGTCCATTTAGGTCTATATCTGATTAAAGTTAAACAAGTCTAATTTGGGAAGATGGTTACTACTCTTTTTCCAGTTCTGAGGCAGGGTCCTGGTGTCTGTTGCTGAGGTTCACTTGACAACTGTTTTAATCTTGGCTCTCAAACTGCATTGAACACATTCTTTTTCTTAGTCATGTCTAGCACGGTCCCTCCTTAGATCTAATTTCTTGAGACTTGAACTGATTCCCACAAGTGCTTTAAAAAATAAGAAAATGTTTGGTTTTTTAATATGAATACAACCTCTTTAAAATTAGTAACAATTATCCCTCATAGGCACGCTTCTCTTAATATTCTATATTAGCAGTTCTCTCACAATAGTGCCAATTCATAAATATAGTATTCTTTTTGGATTGTTATGAAATAAATTATTGTGGTCATCGTTATCTTTAGTCTTCAAGGAGATAATTAATAAGAATGTTTTCCTAACAGAATTCAACCTTAAACTTACTTAAGTCCTGGAAGATCTTTAACACTTGCTGTTATCTCTGCAGCTTCTGGAACAAGCTTTTCTACCAATTCTAGAGGTCCCCAGAAGGATTTATTTTGTCCAAGAAAAGTTTTCTTAGCTAAGGTGATAAAAACAAAGCAGTATTTCAATATTCTTTACAACATAAAGATGACCTCAAAACATAAACACATACACACACTTCTCTCTCATCTGTTCAATCCTTTTTCTCAGGGAACTAGACCTAAATTATCAGACAGTTCTAAAACTATTCACGCTTTCAGAACAGGTAACATTTTGTGACAACCAAAAATCTCCCACTTCCCAAGATTCAGTCCTTCCTCTTTCAGGAAGAACTTATAACTAGCTCTATGATATAATAAAACACTTTAAGAATACAGTACTTAAAGCTGCATGGTATTAGTGAGGAAAACAGTCCAAAGGAAAAGAATACGTAATCCAGAAACAGGCTTTTAGATACTGGGGAGGGAGGAGAGGAAGCAAGGAGAACAAGACCAGGTCCTGCCCTCAAAAGCTTATGGTTAAGTGGAAGAGCACAAAAGCAAGAGTCCACTGTGTGACCTTGGGCAAGCTACCTCCCATTCTAGGCCTGTTTCCACCTGTCAAACAGAAGGGCCGTATTAGACAGTAATGTCCGTTCCAGCGCTAGCATTTAGTAATCAGTGTTTTGTAAGTCCTGTATGCCCTTTAATTCAACCACATCCCCGTGTCCATACAGGGGGCATTCCAATAGGTTAGTATTACTAATTCAAGCCTCTTATTCTTTGGCTCCATAAAGACTGCTTTTCTTCTTGAGCATGTATTGAGAGAATATAGCTGCATGCACATCTGCATCCTGGGGCCATGGCCTACCCTTCAAGCCGTGTTTCAGGCAGTGCTCCATCACCACGAAGAACTGCTGGAGGGGTGCGTAGTCGGAGTCCAGAGTTCTCCCCAGGTTCAGAGCAGATTCAATCAAGCCCTTGATACTCAGCTTGGCCATGTTCATCAGGTTCATGCGTTCGTTAGCCATGAGATAATTAGGATCTACAGCCAAAGAGGGAGAGGACGGACCATGGTTACCAGAAACAGCACATTTAAAAATGCAGCATGTCACTGTGTTGACATTAGCATTGAAGGTGCACAAGCAATGCTTGGTAGGGCTGGCAGTATGTTGCTAAGAATGAAGACAGTGGCACCAAACTATACCGTTAGGTTTTATATTCTCTGCCAACTACTCGCTGTTAAAAAGAAAAGAAGAAGAAAGCCAATTTCCCTTAGGAATATTCTTGGTGCAACAGTGAAGCTGCTTATTTTATACAATTTCAAGCCTTGAGTACAGTCTTAATGTTCTCACCACCACCCCTGCCGCCACCCTAACTTGGGGCTCCTCATAGCCCACTCCTGCACAGCGTTCGCACTGGTCTCCGTGATTCCTCTCTGGCACTGCCCCCTCATTCTCCACAGTTGGTGAAGCGCTCTGAAAATTACAGCCAAGGTAGGAAAAAAAAAAGTACTTAAACTTTGTTCCAAATATACTATTCACATTATTAGTATTACTACTTATGCTAATTAGCATTATTTAAACTAAGCATTATTAAGTAAACTAAAAATAATTAACAGTATTAGCTCCCCAATTTTTAAGACTCAGCATGCCGTGTGATAAACTTCTTAAGGGACTAAGTACCACATTTTATCTGACAGAACTCAGAACATTCCAGGCACTCACGACTTTCACTTGCTGGTGCCTACCCTGTGCCAGGTACTGTGTAGGCTGCTTCTGGCAGTTATGATTTCAATCCCTCCTTATTGGCAGGAAGAGACAACAAAGGCAAAGTCTAAACCCTGGTTCACTGACTCCAAAACCTATGCTCTTTACCACTATAATCCACTTACAAATGAACCAATGGCTCCAAAGAATATTTATCCTTCCCTCCTGTTGGCCATTCTTTTACTATCTTATTTAATTCTTGTGACTCTATCATTAAGTACTGTCCCTTCTTTTACGGTGGTAAAGCAGGCCAACAGAGTTTTCAGATCCAAGGCCAAACAGTTCATAAATGGCAGAATTTGGACCTAGATCTGACATGAAAGCTAATGCATCCTCTCAAACATCAAATATATCATATTCTTTAAAAACTGGAAAAGGCGGGATGCCTGGTGGCTCAATCGGTTAAATGGCTATCTTCGGCTCAGGTCATGATCCCAGGACCCTGGGATTGAGTCTCGCATTGGGCTCCTTGCTCAGTGGGGAGCCTGCTTCTCCCTCCGCCTGCCCCTCCCCCTGCTTGTGCTTTCTCTGTCTCTGACAAATAAATCTTAAAACAAACAAACAAACTGGAAAAGGCCTAGACATCTATGAACTATTTTACTTCTTAGGATAGCAAAAAATACTAATAAAATCCATACTCCCATAATATAAAAAAGCTACAACATAAAACATTGTTTTATTCAAACTGGCCTTAATTTTCTTCATGTAATGTTTTCATTTTCACAGTTTCACAGCTAAATAAGTAGAATCAAATGCCAAATTCTGAGCTAATTTTCATTAAGTTTACGGACTTGTAGATTTATAATTCCAACTATATAAATCTTGGTTCGTTGTGTTCTCTGAGATAATACTTTTAGAGCAATACTTTATATTATAAAGTCAGAATTGGTATATATTGTCATTAATTCTTTCTTGCACAACAAATGTTTTAAGGCTATGCCTCAAATGTGACTCTTTGCTCAGGGCAGGTCAACTCGTCAAGACCAGAACAAGCTCACAAGATGACACTGAAATACACAAAAATCTACCTCCTAAGAAACAGCCATGAAAAACAACTTTATTAGATAGTAATTTCCAACTTTGTTACTGGCATTTATGTGCACTCCAGTGTTTCTAAGACTTATTTATTTTAGAGAGAGAGAGAAAGTGCAAGCGAGCAGGGGGAAGGGCAGAGGGAGAGAGAAAGTCTTAAGCAGACTGTGCTGAGCATAGAGCTTGAGGCAGGGCTCGATCTCACGACCCTGAGATCATGGTCTGAACAGAAATCAAGAGTTGGACGCTTAACCGATTAAGCCACCCGGGCACCCCGCACTCCAGTGTTTCTAACCTTCCATAATCACTGGAAGAAAGGAATGGCATAGAGGTGTGTGAGTATGCATGAATGTCTGTGGAGAGCAACTAGATTCTCTATTTAACGCCTCCCAACAGATGGCAAGAAAATGTTATTAGAGAGCTGGATTTGAGACTTTTGCCAGAAGTGGTGACAGATTTATACTTCTACATTGTCTCATCTCATTCTTCTTATAATCATTAGCAAATTGTTCAAGACATCTGTTTGGGGTCTGGTGAATAAACTACACAGAAAGATGAGCTAATGCCTAGGGAAATTAAAGTCCTAATATCTTGTACATTATTAGTATGGTGCTATAACCTGTTTGAACTAATCTAAATCAAACACAACCCACTCATTCTTTAGAAAATATTGCTCTCAGCTTCAGTACTATTGACATTTTGGGCCAGATAATTCTTTTTTGTGGGGTGCTGTTCTGTGAATTAAGTTTAGCAGCAACCAGACCTTTACCCACTAGGTGTCAGTAGCACTCTCCTGTTATGACAACCAAAAATGTCTCCAGATACTGCCAAATGCCTGTCCCCTGGGAGACAAAATCGGGCTCTCTCCCTGTTAAGAATTACTACTCTAAACAAATAAAAGAAGGTCAAACAAAAATTATGCCTAATTTGACAATTAGGCATAAAAGCTCAAAAGAATTTACTGGTCATTAATTATTTAATGCAGAAGCTAAAATGATTTTTACTTAATGCTTATAATTTTTGTGTTGAATAGTATACAAGTATATGGGCATTATGAATAATTTTAATTACTTTTTTCTAGTTAGTACTAAAGCAAACTACAGAAAATAGTACTTAAAATTTTTTACATTTTGTAATGTTGGCTAGTAGTAATGATCACTAAATCACTAACTTGTCATAGGAATAACAAATACTCTATTCAATCGGTTTGTTACTTGTCTTAAATCACACTCAAGTATAAAATGACTTTGCAGAACAAATATATGCTGATAAAAAGGGTTTCAGTGACACAATGAGAGCATGGAAGGGGTTCTGAGGGGCAGGTGAAGTTCTGTTTTTTTTATATGGCTGTTAGTTATGTGAAACTGTTGAGTGTGTGAAAATTCATTGCACTGAACACTTACAATGTGATCTTTCCTGTATATTTTATACTTTTAATTATAAAAAGTTTTTTTTAAGATTTTATTTATTTATTTGATAGAGAGAGCACAAGCAGGGCAAATGGGGAGGAAGAAGCAGACTCCCCACCGAGCAGGGAGCCCGATGTGGGGCTTGATTCCAGGACCCTGGGATCATGCCCTGAGCCAAAGGTAGATGCTTAATGGACTGAGCCACCCAGGCACCCCTATAGACAGTTTCTTTTTTAAGTTTTGTTACATTGTATAGGCCAGAAAATGATTTTTAAAAATGCATGACTTTCACAGTGTCATTAGTCATATTTTTTCTATGAGAAAAATATCTAAAATGTTTAACAATGCTAACATTTAACACTATTATTCCAAAACTGAACTTTTGTTCATTCATTCATTCATTCATTCGTTTTTTTTAAAATAAATAGTGAACATCTACTGGGTATTAGATACTATGTTTAATGCTGGGACTCCAGAGATAAAAGACCTAGTTCCTGACATCAAAGTGCTTACTATTTATCAAACTTGGGTTACACAGATGTCTGAAGAACAAAACAGGACAGCTTACAGAGAAAACGTGAAATTTCACAATAAACATTATCATCTTTGACAAAGATCAATTTTATTCCAGGACATATAAAATGTTTTTATATTAGGTTAACTAGACCTTTTCTATGGAATCAGATGTAAATTTTATATATTTTTAAAGCTAAGATACTAGATGTGATATTAATGTAAAATTTCAGGCAGGCTGTATGTAAGTCCGATACAATCTCCTCTGCCACTGGATGTGGAAAAGTTTGAGAAGTAGTGCAAATGCACTGCAATAAGAACACTAACAAAAGTATACACAAGACATTACAGGAACATGTACAGAAGAGAGCTATCTGACCCACCCCCTTTCCCTTCATAGTTAAAGGGCAGGTATGTGGATATACGTTCTCAGAGGATAAGGCTGTTTTTTTTTTGTTTTGTTTTGTTTTAGCTTATAAAATATGTTTATTCACTCTGCAGCATTTTAAGGCAATTAAGAAATATCCATTAACATGACTATTACTTAACATTGTACTGAGGGTTGTGGAGGAACACAAATAAAGAAGATAAAGAAATTAGAAGCATATAACCTGTGAAAGAGTGGATCAAATATTACTGCTCTCACACGATCTGATTTTATACCCAGAAAATCAAACGAACAAAATTTGTACAAAAATACAATAATTCACAGAGGTAACAGAATACAAAATTAGTAACAGATATCATTAGGGGAGCACCTGGGAAGCTCAGTCGGTTAAGTGGCCGACTCTTGATTTTGGCTCAGGTCACAATCTCAGGGTGCTGGGATGGAGCCCCGAGAGGGGCACTGCACTCAGCTGGGAGTCTGCCTGAGGATTCCCCCTCTCCCTCTGCCCCATCTCCCGCTCACGCACTTTCTAAAGTAAATAAAATACATCTTTAAGAAAATAAATCATTAGGTGCCATATATTTCAGTAACACAGGATGAGACTTTTGAGTTCGGTCTCTAAGGACAAAACGACATTAGACAAGGAGGGGCAGGCGTAGAGCTGGGATGGGAACAGGATGAAAGGAATAGCTCGGGCAAAGGCACCGAAGCATGAAAGAACTTGGCCCACTAAGAAAAATAAAATGGAAAACATGCCAGAAGCTTATGGTGCATATGAGTAAATGCTGTGAGAAGAGATGAGGGAAACAGGTCAAGGAGAGACTGCTAAGGATCTTGGTTAAGGAGTATGGATTTTACCTTAAAGTCAGGAAAGATTTTAATGAGAGGCGTAGGTCACAGATTGGAATTTTAGAGAAGCCGTTCCCACAGCCGT